AGTAATTTACCTCTATTTACATCAAAATGCAGGCAATGGCCCAGGCGTTCTTTGTAAAATTATTTACAAAACACTGTATAGTCTCACAAATGTCACTTTTTATTTATGCCACTACAAAAAAACATGATGTAAATGATGCATGATGTAAAACATGATGTAAAAAACTTGTGTAGATCCTCCTCTATGTCAGTCCATGTGTAATTTTTCCATAATTCTTTGTTTTTTGCAGCATTTTTGTTAGTGTAACTGCAGATTGTGCTGACAGTGTCTATGGCACAAAAAAAAAAAAAAATTAAAATGCCTCAACATGAACCCCTGGTGGTCTCTGAGGGTGAAACCTGCTAACTGCTGCAGCTCTGTCAGCTTCAGTCTCCCATGCAGAGCTCTGAGCGCATGTGTGGCTCTGCACCCTTAGCAGCGTTGCTAACTCCTCAGTAAGGAAAGCCTGCTTCATGTCAGAGTCTCTAAACTCCAGAAGAAGTCGATAAAAGTCCCTTTCTTTCTAAAAAAAGTCGTTAGGGGGTCTGAAAAGTCATTGAATCTAACAACAAAGTCGCTAGGTTTGCAACTACGTGTCCCAGACTGCATCCCTGCTGAGAGTCCCTCCCTCCCTTCTCATGTTGCAGGAAGAACGTAAGCGCCCGCCCCTTGTCAATCAGTCACCATATAATTTTGGATTGGTTGTTGTGGTGAAGTTTTCCACCAATAGGAGAGATGTTGTGGTGTGTTTTTTTTTTCTTTTGGCAAGCCTTTTCCGCCTGTAAGACCTGTCGCTAATGTCTGCATGCTATGTTTTCCTGTCTCATACAGCGCGATCGAGCGCCGAACGTGATCAAAATAAGCAGAAAAAAAGTATCGCGGACATAATTTATCATAACTCTGGTTTTATTTGGCCTATCAACACAATTTAAAAACTGGTATATAGGTTGAGGTCCTCACTTTTGAGATAAGTTGAAACGGAGAGTCAACGAGGCTCCGTCTTGCAGCTACATCCGGTTAAATATGTCATGTGACTTGAACGCACACACAGACACACACACACACACACACACACACACACACACACACACACACACTCAGAGTCTGGTTTTTAGCACCTGCAAAAACATGCTATTTACATATTTGACAAGAATGCAGAGGCTCCTTTTGCCCCTGAAAAAAATCAAATTTCAAACACAACTTGACTGGTCATTTCTCCAAAAGACAACCATGAAGCTCCATCCAAACCTGAAGCAGGCAGTTGGTGCATGTGTACAGTAACCTGAGGGGAGTGAGGTGAGTGCTTCTGAGGAGAACATGAGCAGTGAAGATTCACCTTGGAGCTAGAACAGAGACATGCACATGATTATACAGGGGCAGGGGCTCAAGTTTTTTCCAGTCGTTTATACAATATGGAAATTAATGTGAAATTAAAACACAAAGTATTAATAGAAAGGTAATGACTGTCCTGTGTAGGTGACAGTGATATCCAATAGGCTAGGCACTCACAAGGCTGGCTGTGGCAAGTGTAAGTGAAAGCAACACGCACTGGCAGGAAGAACAGCAAACGCCGATGAAGGAAAAGGGTCTTTGCAGTGATGGGCGTTAACAGAGAGGGCGATGGCCAGAGGACACAAATGGGACGGGGAGGCAGCATGTTGGGGGGGGGGGGGGACGCGACACGGCTCGGGCCCGCCAGTGCCCCAACGGGGTCCTAGTTAGGGCCCGAGCGTAGCTGCTAAGCAGCTGCGAGAGCCCTATTATTCCCCAAGGGGTTTTTAGGGCCCGAGCCAGCTGCAGAGCAGCCGGGCGTAGGCCCTATTATTCCCCAAGTGGTTTTTCTTTGTTTCTTTCTTTCTTTCTTTCTTTCTTTCTTTAGGGCCCGAGCGTAGCTGCTAAGCAGCTGCGAGAGCCCTCTTGTTCCTGCATGTTTCCTTCTTTTGTTATTATTATTATTTTTCCTCCCCTTTGAACTGGAAAATGGCCCACTTCCCACTGGCGAAAACTCATGAAATTTGGCAGGACGACCGGGCCTGGTGAAAAATTTGATATTCCGAAGTCGCCCAAACAAGAAAATGCAAAATGGCTCCATAGCGCCCCCTAAGGTGAAAATTCACACTATTGACTGTCACGCCTGTACGCTTTGTCAAAATGACACAAAAATTGACACACACATGTATCTCAATAAGATCTACAAAAAAGTCAGTGCGGGCGTATCTGTCAAATGTACGGTTAAAGGGTTATTTCGCATTTTTTGCCGATCCGCACACATTGGAATTTCGCTAACTCCTCCGAAGGCTTTCATTCCACCGGCACCACATTTGCTCAGGCCAATCTACACCCCATGGCCATTAAAAGTTATTCAAATCATGACGCTGCACCCCAGGGTTTAGGTTCTAGGGGGCGCCAAAGATAACCCTAAGATCCACATATTTAAAAGTCTTATAACTTTTTATTTTTGCCCTCACTGGCCTCCAAGTTTTCTAGGATGATGCAATGTCCAGCCATCAACACATTTGTGAAGGAATTTTTACTCCCCAAAAGAGCGCCCCCCCATGGCAGGAGAAAAAAGTCCATTTTTTCTTGTCCCCTAAGGTGAAAATACACATTGTTGAGTTTAACACCTGTACGCTTCTGCAAAATGACACAAAAATTGACACACACATGTATCTCAATAAGATCTACGAAAAAGTCAATGCGCGCGTATCTGTCAAATGTACGGTTAAAGGGTTATTCCGCATTTTTTGCCGATCCGCACACATTGGAATTTCGCTAACTCCTCCTAAGGCTTTCGTTCCACCGGCACCACATTTGCTCAGGCCAATCTACACCCCATGGCCATTAAAAGTTATTCAAATCATGACGCTGCACCCCATGGTTTAGGTTCTAGGGGGCGCCAAAGATAACCCTGAAATCCACATATTTAAAAGTCTTATAACTTTTTATTTTTGTCCTCACTGGCCTCCAAGTTTTCTAGGATGATGCAATGTCCAGCCATCAACACATTTGTGAAGGAATTTTTACTCCCCAAAAGAGCGCCCCCCATGGCAGGAGAAAAAAGTCAATTTTTTCTTGTCCCCTAAGGTGGAAATTCACACTATTGACTGTCACGCCTGTACGCTTTATCATATTGACACAAAAATTGACACACATATGTATCTCAATAATATCTACAAAAAAGTCAATGCGCGCGTATCTGTCAAATGTACGGTTAAAGGGCTATTTTGCATTTTTTGCCGATTCGCACACATTGGAATGTGGCTAACTCCTCCTAAGGCTTTCGTCCCACTGACACCAAATTTGCTCAGGCCAATCTACACCCCATGGCCATTCAAAGTTGTAAAAATCATGACGCTGCACCCCACGGTTTACGTTCTAGGGGGCGCCAAAGATGACCCAAAAATCCACATTCTTAAAAGAATCCCCCCCCCCAAGGCAGGAGAAAAAGTCAAGTTAACCCTGCCCATCGCTCAATGGCTCAATCGCATCGCTCTCCAGGCAACACCGTAAGGAGGAGCAACCTGCCATTTCGATATATCATAGCTGTGTTTGTGCCCTCACTCATGGTCCAGACTTTTTTCAAATAGGACATGAAGTTTGTCTGCAGCGAGTGTTTTGGTAGAAACTGCGCCTCCCATTCATTATAATGGGAAATGACCACAGACAAGTGCGCACACCATCTTTGGACCTTGAGTGTGACGCGATCGGGAGGGGGAGGCGGTCGCGCTGGGGGCGGCGCGACGCGGCTCGGGCCCGCCAGTGCCCCACCGGGGCCCTAGTTCTTCTTTTTCCTCCCCTTTGAACTGGAAAATGGCCCACTTCCCACTGGCGAAAACTCATGAAATTTGGCAGGACGACCAGGCCTGGTGAAAAATTCGATATTCTGAAGTCGCCCAAACAATAAAATGCAAAATGGCTCCATAGCGCCCCCTAAGGTGGAAATTCACACTATTGACTGTCACGCCTGTACGCTTTGTCATATTGACACAAAAATTGACACACATATGTATCTCAATAAGATCTACAAAAAAGTCAGTGCGGCCGTATCTGTCAAAATTACGGTTAAAGGGTTATTTCGCATTTTTTGCCGATCCGCACACATTGGAATTTCGCTAACTCCTCCGAAGGCTTTCGTTCCACCGGCACCACATTTGCTCAGGCCAATCTACACCCCGTGGCCATTAAAAGTTATCAAAATCATGACGCTGCACCCCAAGGTTTAGGTTCTAGGGGGCGCCAAAGATAACACTAAAATCCACATATTTAAAAGTCTTATAACTTTTTATTTTTGTCCTCACTGGCCTCCAAGTTTTCTAGGATGATGCAATGTCCAGCCATCAACACATTTGTGAAGGAATTTTTACTCCCCAAAAGAGCGCCCCCCCATGGCAGGAGAAAAAAGTCCATTTTTTCTTGTCCCCTAAGGTGAAAATACACATTGTTGAGTGTCACGCCTATACGCTTTGTCAAAATGACACAAAAATTGACACACACATGTAACTCAATAAGATCTACAAAAAAGTCCATGCGCGCGTATCTGTCAAATGTACAGTTAAAGGGTTATTCCGCATTTTTTGCCGATACGCACACATTGGAATTTCGCTAACTCCTCCGAAGGCTTTCGTTCCACCGGCACCACATTTGCTCAGGCCAATCTACACCCCATGGCCATTAAAAGTTATTCAAATCATGATGCTGCACCCCATGGTTTAGGTTCTAGGGGGCGCCAAAAATAACCCAAAAATCCACATTCTTAAATGTTTTATAACTTTTTATTTTTGTCCTCACTGGCCTCCAAGTTTTCTAGGATGATGCAATGTCCAGCCATCAACACATTTGTGAAGGAATTTTTACTCCCCAAAAGAGCGCCCCCCCATGGTAGGAGAAAAAAGTCAATTTTTTCTTGTCCCCTTACATAAAAATACACATTGTTGAGTGTCACGCCTGAACGCTTTGTCATATTGACACAAAAATTGACAATCATGTGTATCTCAATTAGATCTACGAAAAAGTCAAAGAGTGCGTATCTGTATAATGTACGGTTAAAGGGCTATTTTGCATTTTTTGCCGATTCGCACACATTGGAATGTGGCTATCTCCTCCTAAGGCTTTCGTCACACCGATACCAAATTTGCTCAGGGCAATCTACACCCCATGCCCATTCAAAGTTGTAAAAATCATGACGCTGCACCCCACGGTTTACGTTCTAGGGGGCGCCAAAGATGACCCAAAAATCCACATTCTTAAAAGTCATTTTGGCCACTGCAGGAGTACAGAGTACTGCAGTTCTAGGGGGCGCCAAAGATGACCCAAAAATCCACATTCTTAAAAGTCTTTTTGGCCACTGCAGGAGTACAGAGTACTGCAGGATACACACACATATACACACACGCCAACATACACACACACACACACACACACACACACACACACACAGACACACACACACACTCAGAGTCTGTTTTTTAGCACCTGCAAAAACATGCTGTTTACATATTTGACAAGAATGCAGAGGCTTCCTTTTGCCCCTGAAAAAAATCAAATTTCAAACACAACTTGACTGTTCATTTCTCCAAAAGACAACCATGAAGCTCCATTTCAAACCTGAAGCAGATAGTTGGTGCATGTGTACAGTAACCTGAGGGGAGTGAGGTGACTATTTCTGAGGAGAACATGAGCAGTGAAGATTCACCTTGGAGCTAGAACAGGGACGTGCACATGATTATACAGGGGCAGGGGCTCAAGTTTTTTCCAGTCATTTATACAATATGGAAATTAATGTGAAATTAAACCACAAATATGTGTGATGAACTGTTTTTAAAACTTAAACTTCAAATAAAAATTGTAAACTTCAAAACATATGCAAATTTTTAACAAAGAACATAGTAATTTACCTCTATTTACATCAAAATGCAGGCAATGGCCCAGGCGTTCTTTGTAAAATTATTTACAAAACACTGTATAGTCTCACAAATGTCACTTTTTATTTATGCCACTACAAACAAACATGATGTAAATGATGTATGATGTAAAACATGATGTAAAAAACTTGTGTAGATCCTCCTCTATGTCAGTCCATGTGTAATTTTTCCATAATTCTTTGTTTTTTGCAGCATTTTTGTTAGTGTAACTGCAGATTTTGCTGACAGTGTCTATGGCACAAAAAAAAAAAATTAAAATGCCTCAACATGAACCCCTGGTGGTCTCTGAGGGTGAAACCTGCTAACTGCTGCAGCTCTGTCAGCTTCAGTCTCCCATGCAGAGCTCTGAGCGCATGTGTGGCTCTGCACCCTTAGCAGCGTTGCTAACTCCTCAGTAAGGAAAGCCTGCTTCATGTCAAAGTCTCTAAACTCCAGAAGAAGTCGATAAAAGTCCCTTTCTTTCTAAAAAAAAGTCGTTAGGGTGTCTGAAAAGTCATTGAATCTAACAACAAAGTCGCTAGGTTTGCAACTACGTGTCCCAGACTGCATCCCTGCTGAGAGTCCCTCCCTCCCTTCTCATGTTGCAGGAAGAACGTAAGCGCCCGCCCCTTGTCAATCAGTCACCATATAATTTTGGATTGGTTGTTGTGGTGAAGTTTTCCACCAATAGGAGAGATGTTGTGGTGTGTTTTTTTTTTCTTTTGGCAAGCCTTTTCCGCCTGTAAGACCTGTCGCTAATGTCTGCATGCTATGTTTTCCTGTCTCATACAGCGCGATCGAGCGCCGAACGTGATCAAAATAAGCAGAAAAAAAGTATCGCGGACATAATTTATCATAACTCTGGTTTTATTTGGCCTATCAACACAATTTAAAAACTGGTATATAGGTTGAGGTCCTCACTTTTGAGATAAGTTGAAACGGAGAGTCAACGAGGCTCCGTCTTGCAGCTACATCAGGTTAAATATGTCATGTGACTTGAACGCACACATAGACACACACACACGCACACACACACACACACACACACACACACACACTCAGAGTCTGGTTTTTAGCACCTGCAAAAACATGCTATTTACATATTTGACAAGAATGCAGAGGCTCCTTTTGCCCCTGAAAAAAATCAAATTTCAAACACAACTTGACTGGTCATTTCTCCAAAAGACAACCATGAAGCTCCATCCAAACCTGAAGCAGGCAGTTGGTGCATGTGTACAGTAACCTGAGGGGAGTGAGGTGAGTGCTTCTGAGGAGAACATGAGCAGTGAAGATTCACCTTGGAGCTAGAACAGAGACATGCACATGATTATACAGGGGCAGGGGCTCAAGTTTTTTCCAGTCGTTTATACAATATGGAAATTAATGTGAAATTAAAACACAAAGTATTAATAGAAAGGTAATGACTGTCCTGTGTAGGTGACAGTGATATCCAATAGGCTAGGCACTCACGAGGCTGGCTGTGGCAAGTGTAAGTGAAAGCAACACGCACTGGCAGGAAGAACAGCAAACGCCGATGAAGGAAAAGGGTCTTTGCAGTGATGGGCGTTACCAGAGAGGGCGATGGCCAGAGGACACAAATGGGACGGGGAGGCAGCACGTTGGGGGGGGGGGGACGCGACACGGCTCGGGCCCGCCAGTGCCCCAACGGGGTCCTAGTCTTTGTTTCTTTAGGGCCCGAGCGTAGCTGCTAAGCAGCTGCGAGAGCCCTCTTGTTCCTGTAGTTTCCTTCTTTTGTTATTAGGGCCCGAGCCAGCTGCAGAGCAGCCGGGCGTAGGCCCTATTATTCCCCAAGTGGTTTTTCTTTGTTTCTTTCTTTCTTTCTTTCTTTCTTTCTTTAGGGCCCGAGCGTAGCTGCTAAGCAGCTGCGAGAGCCCTCTTGTTCCTGTAGTTTCCTTCTTTTGTTATTATTATTATTTTTCCTCCCCTTTGAACTGGAAAATGGCCCACTTCCCACTGGCGAAAACTCATGAAATTTGGCAGGACGACCGGGCCTGGTGAAAAATTTGATATTCCGAAGTCGCCCAAACAAGAAAATGCAAAATGGCTCCATAGCGCCCCCTAAGGTGAAAATTCACACTATTCACTGTCACGCCTGTACGCTTTGTCAAAATGACACAAAAATTGACACACACATGTATCTCAATAAGATCTACAAAAAAGTCAGTGCGGGCGTATCTGTCAAATGTACGGTTAAAGGGTTATTTCGCATTTTTTGCCGATCCGCACACATTGGAATTTCGCTAACTCCTCCGAAGGCTTTCTGTCCACCGGCACCACATTTGCTCAGGCCAATCTACACCCCATGGCCATTAAAAGTTATTCAAATCATGACGCTGCACCCCACGGTTTAGGTTCTAGGGGGCGCCAAAGATAACCCTAAGATCCACATATTTAAAAGTCTTATAACTTTTTATTTTTGCCCTCACTGGCCTCCAAGTTTTCTAGGATGATGCAATGTCCAGCCATCAACACATTTGTGAAGGAATTTTTACTCCCCAAAAGAGCGCCCCCCCATGGCAGGAGAAAAAAGTCCATTTTTTCTTGTCCCCTAAGATGAAAATACACATTGTTGAGTGTAACACCTGTACGCTTTGGCAAAATGACACAAAAATTGACACACACATGTATCTCAATAAGATCTACGAAAAAGTCAATGCGCGCGTATCTGTTAAATGTACGGTTAAAGGGTTATTCCGCATTTTTTGCCGATCCGCACACATTGGAATTTCGCTAACTCCTCCGAAGGCTTTCGTTCCACCGGCACCACATTTGCTCAGGCCAATCTACACCCCATGGCCATTAAAAGTTATTCAAATCATGACGCTGCACCCCACGGTTTAGGTTCTAGGGGGCGCCAAAGATAACCGTAAAATCCACATATTTAAAAGTCTTATAACTTTTTATTTTTGTCCCCACTGGCCTCCAAGTTTTCTAGGATGATGCAATGTCCAGCCATCAACACATTTGTGAAGGAATTTTTACTCCCCAAAAGAGCGCCCCCCCATGGCAGGAGAAAAAAGTCAATTTTTTCTTGTCCCCTAAGGTGGAAATTCACACTATTGACTGTCACGCCTGTACGCTTTATCATATTGACACAAAAATTGACAATCATATGTATCTCAATTAGATCTACGAAAAAGTCAAAGAGCGCGTATCTGTATAATGTACGGTAAAAGGGCTATTTTGCATTTTTTGCCGATTCGCACACATTGGAATTTCGCTAACTCCTCCTAAGGCTTTCGTCCCACTGACACCAAATTTGCTCAGGCCAATCTACACTCCATGGCCATTCAAAGTTGTAAAAATCATGACGCTGCACCCCACGGTTTACGTTTTAGGGGGCGCCAAAGATGACCCAAATATACATTACAGTAGACAAAGTAGTTTTGCCCACTGAGTGGCGCCAAAGGGACTTGTCTGTGGAGTCTGTGAGTCACTATTGGCCGTTTTTGACTACTTTAGATTTTACCTTTATATTTCCTCTTACAAGATTTTTACCTTGCCTTGCCTGGTATCATTTTTTTCAGCACAACCTCACCTGTGTCAATTTACAGTTATTTTATCATTTTGACATACTATATTTACACATTGGACCCAAATTCACACACAAAACATAAAATCCGAGTGGAAAAAAGTAACGTTTTTACTGTGAAAACCACAAATATGTGTGATGAACTGTTTTTAAAACTTAAACTTCAAATAAAAATTGTAAACTTCAAAACATATGCAAATTTTTAACAAAGAACATAGTAATTTACCTCTATTTACATCAAAATGCAGGCAATGGCCCAGGTGTTCTTTGTAAAATTATTTACAAAACACTGTATAGTCTCACAAATGTCACTTTTTATTTATGCCACTACAAAAAAACATGATGTAAATGATGCATGATGTAAAACATGATGTAAAAAACTTGTGTAGATCCTCCTCTATGTTAGTCCATGTGTAATTTTTCCATAATTCTTTGTTTTTTGCAGCATTTTTGTTAGTGTAACTGCAGATTGTGCTGACAGTGTCTATGGCAAAAAAAAAAAAAAAAAAAAACTGAAAATGCCTCAACATGAACCCCTGGTGGTCTCTGAGGGTGAAACCTGCTAACTGCTGCAGCTCTGTCAGCTTCAGTCTCCCATGCAGAGCTCGGAGCGCATGTGTGGCTCTGCACCCTTAGCAGCGTTGCTAACTCCTCAGTAAGGAAAGCCTGCTTCATGTCAGAGTCTCTAAACTCCAGAAGAAGTCGATAAAAGTCCCTTTCTTTCTAAAAAAAAGTCGTTAGGGGGTCTGAAAAGTCATTGAATCTAACAACAAAGTCGCTAGGTTTGCAACTACGTGTCCCAGACTGCATCCCTGCTGAGAGTCCCTCCCTCCCTTCTCATATTGCAGGAAGAACGTAAGTTCCCGCCCCTTGTCAATCAGTTACCATATAATTTTGGATTGGTTGTTGTGGTGAAGTTTTCCACCAATAGGAGAGATGTTGTGGTGTGTATTTTTTTTCCTTTGGCAAGCCTTTTCCGCCTGTAAGACCTGTCGCTAATGTCTGCATGCTATGTTTTCCTGTCTCATACAGCGCGATCGAGCGCCGAACGTGATCAAAATAAGCAGAAAACAAGTATCGCGGACATAATTTATCATAACTCTGGTTTTATTTGGCCTATCAACACAATTTAAAAACTGGTATATAGGTTGAGGTCCTCACTTTTGAGATAAATTGAAACGGAGAGTCAACGAGGCTCCGTCTTGCAGCTACATCCGGTTAAATATGTCATGTGACTTGAACGCACACACACACACACAGACACACACACACACGCACACACACACACTCAGAGTCTGGTTTGTAGCACCTGCAAAAACATGCTATTTACATATTTGACAAGAATGCAGAGGCTCCTTTTGCCCCTGAAAAAAATCAAATTTCAAACACAACTTGACTGGTCATTTCTCCAAAAGACAACCATGAAGCTCCATCCAAACCTGAAGCAGGCAGTTGGTGCATGTGTACAGTAACCTGAGGGGAGTGAGGTGACTGCTTCTGAGGAGAACATGAGCAGTGAAGATTTACCTTAGAGCTAGAACAGAGACGTGCACATGATTATACAGGGGCAGGGGCTCAAGTTTTTTCCAGTCGTTTATACAATTTGGAAATTAATGTGAAATTAAAAAACAAAGTATTAATAGAAAGGTAATGACTGTCCTGTGTATGTGACAGTGATATCCAATAGGCTAGGCACTCACGAGGCTGGCTGTGGCAAGTGTAAGTGAAAGCAACACGCACTGGCAGGAAGAACAGCAAACGCCGATGAAGGAAAAGGGTCTTTGCAGTGATGGGCGTTACCAAAGAGGGCGATGGCCAGAGGACACAAATGGGACGGGGAGGCAGCGCGTTGGGGGGGGGACGCGACACAGCTCGGGCCCGCCAGTGCCCCAACGGGGTCCTAGTTATTATTTTTCCTCCCCTTTGAACTGGAAAATGGCCCACTTCCCACTGGCGAAAACTCATGAAATTTGGCAGGACGACCGGGCCTGGTGAAAAATTTGATATTCCGAAGTCGCCCAAACAAGAAAATGCAAAATGGCTCCATAGCGCCCCCTAAGGTGAAAATTCACACTATTGACTGTCACGCCTGTACGCTTTGTCAAAATGACACAAAAATTGACACACACATGTAAAATCTACGAAAAAGTCAATGCGCGCGTATCTGTCAAATGTACGGTTAAAGGGTTATTCCGCATTTTTTGCCGATCCGCACACATTGGAATGTGGCTAACTCCTCCTAAGGCTTTCGTTCCACCGGCACCACATTTGCTCAGGCCAATCTACACCCCATGGCCATTAAAAGTTATCAAAATCATGACGCTGCACCCCACGGTTTAGGTTCTAGGGGGCGCCAAAGATAACCCTAAAATCCACATATTTAAAAGTCTTATAACTTTTTATTTTTGTCCTCACTGGCCTCCAAGTTTTCTAGGATGATGCAATGTCCAGCCATCAACACATTTGTGAAGGAATTTTTACTCCCCAAAAGAGCGCCCCCCATGGCAGGAGAAAAAAGTCCATTTTTTCTTGTCCCCTAAGGTGAAAATACATATTGTTGAGATTCACGCCTATACGCTTTGTCATATTGACACAAAATTTGACAATCACGTGCCTTGCCTGGTATCATTTTTTTCAGCACAACCTCACCTGTGCGAATTTACAGTTATTTTATCATGTTGACATACTGAATTTACACAATGGACCCAAATTCACACACAAAACATCAAATCCGAGTGGAAAAAAGTAACATTTTTACTGTGAAAACCACAAATATGTGTGATGAACTGTTTTTAAAACTTAAACTTCAAATAAAAATTGTAAACTTCAAAACATATGCAAATTTTTAACAAAGAACATAGTGATTTACCTCTATTTACATCAAAATGCAGGCAATGGCCCAGGCGTTCTTTGTAAAATTATTTACAAAACACTGTATAGTCTCACAAATGTCACTTTTTATTTATGCCACTACAAAAAACATGATGTAAATGATGCATGATGTAAAACATGATGTAAAAAACTTGTGTAGATCCTCCTGTATGTCAGTCCATGTGTAATTTTTCCATAATTCTTTGTTTTTTGCAGCATTTTTGTTAGTGTAACTGCAGATTGTGCTGACAGTGTCTATGGCACAAAAAAAAAAAAAATTAAAATGCCTCAACATGAACCCCTGGTGGTCTCTGAGGGTGAAACCTGCTAACTGCTGCAGCTCTGTCAGCTTCAGTCTCCCATGCAGAGCTCTGAGCGCATGTGTGGCTCTGCACCCTTAGCAGCGTTGCTAACTCCTCAGTAAGGAAAGCCTGCTTCATGTCAGAGTCTCTAAACTCCAGAAGAAGTCGATAAAAGTCCCTTTCTTTCTAAAAAAAAGTCGTTAGGGGGTCTGAAAAGTCATTGAATCTAACAACAAAGTCGCTAGGTTTGCAACTACGTGTCCCAGACTGCATCCCTGCTGAGAGTCCCTCCCTCCCTTCTCATGTTGCAGGAAGAACGTAAGCGCCCGCCCCTTGTCAATCAGTCACCATATAATTTTGGATTGGTTGTTGTGGTGAAGTTTTCCACCAATAGGAGAGATGTTGTGGTGTGTTTTTTTTTTCTTTTGGCAAGCCTTTTCCGCCTGTAAGAGCTGTCGCTAATGTCTGCATGCTATGTTTTCCTGTCTCATACAGCGCGATCGAGCGCCGAACGTGATCAAAATAAGCAGAAAAAAAGTATCGCGGACATAATTTATCATAACTCTGGTTTTATTTGGCCTATCAACACAATTTAAAAACTGGTATATAGGTTGAGGTCCTCACTTTTGAGATAAGTTGAAACGGAGAGTCAACGAGGCTCCGTCTTGCAGCTACATCCGGTTAAATATGTCATGTGACTTGAACGCACACACAGACACACACACGCACACACACACACACACACACACACACACACACACTCAGAGTCTGGTTTTTAGCACCTGCAAAAACATGCTATTTACATATTTGACAAGAATGCAGAGGCTCCTTTTGCCCCTGAAAAAAATCAAATTTCAAACACAACTTGACTGCTCATTTCTCCAAAAGACAACCATGAAGCTCCATCCAAACCTGAAGCAGGCAGTTGGTGCATGTGTACAGTAACCTGAGGGGAGTGAGGTGAGTGCTTCTGAGGAGAACATGAGCAGTGAAGATTCACCTTGGAGCTAGAACAGAGACATGCACATGATTATACAGGGGCAGGGGCTCAAGTTTTTTCCAGTCGTTTATACAATATGGAAATTAATGTGAAATTAAAACACAAAGTATTAATAGAAAGGTAATGACTGTCCTGTGTAGGTGACAGTGATATCCAATAGGCTAGGCACTCACGAGGCTGGCTGTGGCAAGTGTAAGTGAAAGCAACACGCACTGGCAGGAAGAACAGCAAACGCTGATGAAGGAAAAGGGTCTTTGCAGTGATGGGCGTTACCAGAGAGGGCGATGGCCAGAGGACACAAATGGGACGGGGAGGCAGCACGTTGGGGGGACGCGACACGGCTCGGGCCCGCCAGTGCCCCAACGGGGTCCTAGTTATTATTTTTCCTCCCCTTTGAACTGGAAAATGGCCCACTTCCCACTGGCGAAAACTCATGAAATTTGGCAGGACGACCGGGCCTGGTGAAAAATTTGATATTCTGAAGTCGCCCAAACAATACAATGCAAAATGGCTCCATAGCGCCCCCTAAGGTGAAAAATTCACCTGACGCCTGTACGCTTTGTCAAAATGACACAAAAATTGACACACACATGTATCTCAATAAGATCTACAAAAAAGTCAGTGCGGGCGTATCTGTCAAATGTACGGTTAAAGGGTTATTTCGCATTTTTTGCCGATCCGCACACATTGGAATTTCGCTAACTCCTCCGAAGGCTTTCGTTCCACCGGCACCACATTTGCTCAGGCCAATCTACACCCCATGGCCATTAAAAGTTATTCAAATCATGACGCTGCACCCCACGGTTTATGTTCTAGGGGGCGCCAAAGATAACCCTAAAATCCACATATTTCAAAGTCTTATAACTTTTTATTTTTGCCCTCACTGGCCTCCAAGTTTTCTAGGATGATGCAATGTCCAGCCATCAACACATTTGTGAAGGAATTTTTACTCCCCAAAAGAGCGCCCCCCCATGGCAGGAGAAAAAAGTCCATTTTTTCTTGTTCCATAAGGTGAAAATTCACACTATTGACTGTCACGCCTGTACGCTTTGTCAAAATTACACAAAAATTGACACACACATGTATCTCAATAAGATCTACAAAAAAGTCAGTGCGGGCGTATCTGTCAAATGTACGGTTAAAGGGTTATTTCGCATTTTTTGCCGATCCGCACACATTGGAATTTCGCTAACTCCTCCGAAGGCTTTCGTTCCACCGGCACCACATTTGCTCAGGCCAATCTACACCCCATGGCCATTAAAAGTTATTCAAATCATGACGCTGCACCCCACGGTTTATGTTCTAGGGGGCGCCAAAGATAACCCTAAAATCCACATATTTCAAAGTCTTATAACTTTTTATTTTTGCCCTCACTGGCCTCCAAGTTTTCTAGGATGATGCAATGTCCAGCCATCAACACATTTGTGAAGGAATTTTTACTCCCCAAAAGAGCGCCCCCCATGGCAGGAGAAAAAAGTCCATTTTTTCTTGTTCCATAAGGTGAAAATTCACACTATTGACTGTCACGCCTGTACGCTTTGTCAAAATTACACAAAAATTGACACACACATGTATCTCAATAAGATCTACAAAAAAGTCAGTGCGGGCGTATCTGTCAAATGTACGGTTAAAGGGTTATTGCGCATTTTTTGCCGATCCGCACACATTGGAATTTCGCTAACTCCTCCGAAGGCTTTCGTTCCACCGGCACCACATTTGCTCAGGCCAATCTACACCCCATGGCCATTAAAAGTTATTCAAATCATGACGCTGCACCCCACGGTTTATGTTCTAGGGGGCGCCAAAGATAACCCTAAAATCCACATATTTCAAAGTCTTATAACTTTTTATTTTTGCCCTCACTGGCCTCCAAGTTTTCTAGGATGATGCAATGTCCAGCCATCAACACATTTGTGAAGGAATTTTTACTCCCCAAAAGAGCGCCCCCCCATGGCAGGAGAAAAAAGTCCATTTTTTCTTGTTCCATAAGGTGAAAATTCACACTATTGACTGTCACGCCTGTACGCTTTGTCAAAATTACACAAAAATTGACACACACATGTATCTCAATAAGATCTACAAAAAAGTCAGTGCGGGCGTATCTGTCAAATGTACGGTTAAAGGGTTATTGCGCATTTTTTGCCGATCCGCACACATTGGAATTTCGCTAACTCCTCTGAAGGCTTTCGTTCAACCGGCACCACATTTGCTCAGGCCAATCTACACCCCATGGCCATTAAAAGTTATTCAAATCATGACGCTGCACCCTTCGGTTTAGGTTCTAGGGGGCGCCAAAGATAACCCTAAAATCCACATATTTAAAAGTCTTATAACTTTTTATTTTTGTCCTCTCTGGCCTCCAAGTTTTCTAGGATGATGCAATGTCCAGCCATCAACACATTTGTGAAGGAATTTTTACTCCCTAAAAGAGCGCCCCCCATGGCAGGAGAAAAAAGTCCATTTTTTCTTGTCCCATAAGGTGAAAATACACATTGTTGACTGTCATACCTGTATGCTTTGTCATATTGACACAAAATTTGACACACACATGTATCTCAATAAGATCTACGAAAAAGTCAATGCGCGCGTATCTGTAAAATGTACGGTTAAAGGGCTATTTTGCATTTTTTGCCGATTAGCACACATTGGAATGTGGCTAACTCCTCCTAAGGCTTTCGTCCCACTGACACCAAATTTGCTCAGGCCAATCTACACCCCATGGCCATTCAAAGTTTTAAAAATCATGACGCTGCACCCCACGGTTTACGTTCTAGGGGGCGCCAAAGATGACCCAAATATCCACATTCTTAAAAGAATCCACATCCCTTTCCCCCTCCCATCCCCCATCCCCCATGGCAGGAGAAACAGTCAAGTTTTTCCTGCCCATCACTCAATGGCTCAATCGCATCGCTCTCCCGGCAACACCGTAACGAGGAGCAACTTGCCGTTTGGATATATCCTAGCTGTGTTTGTGCCCTCACTCATGGTCCAGACTTTTTTCAAATAGGACATGTAGTTTGTCTGCAGCGAGTGTTTTGGTAGAAACTGCGCCTCCCATTCATTATAATGGGAAATGACCACAGACAAGTGCGCACACCATCTTTGGACCTTGAGTGTGACGCGATCGGGAGGGGGAGGCGGTCGCACTGGGGGCGGCGCAACGCGGCTCGGGCCCGCCAGTGCCCCAACGGGGCCCTAGTTCTTCTTTTTCCTCCCCTTTGAACTGGAAAATGGCCCACTTCCCACTGGCGAAAACTCATGAAATTTGGCAGGACGACCGGGCCTGGTGAAAAATTCGATATTCTGAAGTCGCCCAAACAATAAAATGCAAAATGGCTCCATAGCGCCCCCTAAGGTGGAAATTCACACTATTGACTGTCACGCCTGTACGCTTTGTCATATTGACACAAAAATTGACACACATATGTATCTCAATAAGATCTACAAAAAAGTCAGTGCGGCCGTATCTGTCAAAATTACGGTTAAAGGGTTATTTCGCATTTTTTGCCGATCCGCACACATTGGAATTTCGCTAACTCCTCCGAAGGCTTTCGTTCCACCGGCACCACATTTGCTCAGGCCAATCTACACCCCGTGGCCATTAAAAGTTATCAAAATCATGACGCTGCACCCCAAGGTTTAGGTTCTAGGGGGCGCCAAAGATAACACTAAAATCCACATATTTAAAAGTCTTATAACTTTTTATTTTTGTCCTCACTGGCCTCCAAGTTTTCTAGGATGATGCAATGTCCAGCCATCAACACATTTGTGAAGGAATTTTTACTCCCCAAAAGAGCGCCCCCCCATGGCAGGAGAAAAAAGTCCATTTATTCTTGTCCCCTAAGGTGAAAATACACATTGTTGAGTGTCACGCCTATACGCTTTGTCAAAATGACACAAAAATTGACACACACATGTAACTCAATAAGATCTACAAAAAAGTCCATGCGCGCGTATCTGTCAAATGTACAGTTAAAGGGTTATTCCGCATTTTTTGCCGATACGCACACATTGGAATTTCGCTAACTCCTCCGAAGGCTTTCGTTCCACCGGCACCACATTTGCTCAGGCCAATCTACACCCCATGGCCATTAAAAGTTATTCAAATCATGATGCTGCACCCCATGGTTTAGGTTCTAGGGGGCGCCAAAAATAACCCAAAAATCCACATTCTTAAATGTTTTATAACTTTTTATTTTTGTCCTCACTGGCCTCCAAGTTTTCTAGGATGATGCAATGTCCAGCCATCAACACATTTGTGAAGGAATTTTTACTCCCCAAAAGAGCGCCCCCCCATGGTAGGAGAAAAAAGTCAATTTTTTCTTGTCCCCTTACATAAAAATACACATTGTTGAGTGTCACGCCTGAACGCTTTGTCATATTGACACAAAAATTGACAATCATGTGTATCTCAATTAGATCTACGAAAAAGTCAAAGAGCGCGTATCCGTATAATGTACGGTTAAAGGGCTATTTTGCATTTTTTGCCGATTCGCACACATTGGAATGTGGCTATCTCCTCCTAAGGCTTTCGTCCCACCGATACCAAATTTGCTCAGGGCAATCTACACCCCATGCCCATTCAAAGTTGTAAAAATCATGATGCTGCACCCCACGGTTTACGTTCTAGGGGGCGCCAAAGATGACCCAAAAATCCACATTCTTAAAAGTCATTTTGGCCACTGCAGGAGTACAGAGTACTGCAGTTCTAGGGGGCGCCAAAGATGACCCAAAAATCCACATTCTTAAAAGTCTTTTTGGCCACTGCAGGAGTACAGAGTACTGCAGGATACACACACATATACACACACGCCAACATACACACACGCCAACATACACACACACACACACACACACACACACACACACACACAAACACACACACACACTCAGAGTCTGTTTTTTAGCACCTGCAAAAACATGCTGTTTACATATTTGACAAGAATGCAGAGGCTTCCTTTTGCCCCTGAAAAAAATCAAATTTCAAACACAACTTGACTGTTCATTTCTCCAAAAGACAACCATGAAGCTCCATTTCAAACCTGAAGCAGATAGTTGGTGCATGTGTACAGTAACCTGAGGGGAGTGAGGTGACTATTTCTGAGGAGAACATGAGCAGTGAAGATTCACCTTGGAGCTAGAACAGGGACGTGCACATGATTATACAGGGGCAGGGGCTCAAGTTTTTTCCAGTCATTTATACAATATGGAAATTAATGTGAAATTAAACCACAAATATGTGTGATGAACTGTTTTTAAAACTTAAACTTCAAATAAAAATTGTAAACTTCAAAACATATGCAAATTTTTAACAAAGAACATAGTAATTTACCTCTATTTACATCAAAATGCAGGCAATGGCCCAGGCGTTCTTTGTAAAATTATTTACAAAACACTGTATAGTCTCACAAATGTCACTTTTTATTTATGCCACTACAAAAAAACATGATGTAAATGATGCATGATGTAAAACATGATGTAAAAAACTTGTGTAGATCCTCCTCTATGTCAGTCCATGTGTAATTTTTCCATAATTCTTTGTTTTTTGCAGCATTTTTGTTAGTGTAACTGCAGATTTTGCTGACAGTGTCTATGGCACAAAAAAAAAAAAAAAATAAAATGCCTCAACATGAACCCCTGGTGGTCTCTGAGGGTGAAACCTGCTAACTGCTGCAGCTCTGTCAGCTTCAGTCTCCCATGCAGAGCTCTGAGCGCATGTGTGGCTCTGCACCCTTAGCAGCGTTGCTAACTCCTCAGTAAGGAAAGCCTGCTTCATGTCAGAGTCTCTAAACTCCAGAAGAAGTCGATAAAAGTCCCTTTCTTTCTAAAAAAAAGTCGTTAGGGTGTCTGAAAAGTCATTGAATCTAACAACAAAGTCGCTAGGTTTGCAACTACGTGTCCCAGACTGCATCCCTGCTGAGAGTCCCTCCCTCCCTTCTCATGTTGCAGGAAGAACGTAAGCGCCCGCCCCTTGTCAATCAGTCACCATATAATTTTGGATTGGTTGTTGTGGTGAAGTTTTCCACCAATAGGAGAGATGTTGTGGTGTGTTTTTTTTTTCTTTTGGCAAGCCTTTTCCGCCTGTAAGACCTGTCGCTAATGTCTGCATGCTATGTTTTCCTGTCTCATA